TTTTTTCCTTGACTTTTTAAATAAACCAAACTCGGTGAGATTTGGATCCAATAACTTGAACTCAGTTCGATGTGGTTGTAGTCTTTCGGGATACAAGTTTAAATACATTTCCGATGTCCTAACACTGTTTCTATCGTATTTGTGATAAATTTGTATCATATCTCTTTTTTGTTCATTCGTGAAAGCCAATTTTTGCCAAAAACTCAATGACTTTCACAATATCAAAATGTCATTAAGTCTAACAAATTGAAAGTCAAATTTAGAAACATCAAAGTCAAAGCCTATCATGATTAGAACTAAGTTTTTTCAATACCATTGGAAAGGTAAAATCTGGTTCCATTCAAATCAGAAAGAAACCAATGTAGCGCTCATAAGAAAAAATAAAGTTGATGATGGTGGCCGGAAGACGAAACGTCGGATAGCTAATCTGAAAACAAAATTATGTAGCAGGGAAAAAGTGTCAATGTATAAGTGCAATTTATTTTTGAAAGATTCGGATGTACTCGGAATTTCAGAACGTTCTCAACGGCTTATTGTCAGTCAGGTAAATAAATGCGCAACTTTACCCCAATTCAACCATCTTCGTATCTCTCATAGTTTCCGAGATCCCAATGGTGAGGATGGAATTTGAACCACCCTATAGACATATTCCACAGAAAATTACCCTTCTTGCGAAATTCAGAAAATACCTCTCCCCGAAATTTAGATCAAATCCGTCCTTGAACCATCGAGAAACCGTTTGAGATTTCGACAGAATTGTTCCACAATTGACAAAACTATTAGTTTTTCTTTCGCTGGAGTCGTAAGATAAATATATCAACATTAATTTTGTCTGAACATATAGAACATTTCAGTTTTCACATGAAAAACTCAGTTGAGTTGAAAATACAGCCATCTCTGTTAGAATAGCTGAAACAGTAAATGTTTGGCATAATTTGACAGTTACAGCACCACTCCGAAAAAATCATAACTCATAGACAGTAACAGTTGAAAATGTGAAATTTCACAGAATCACACCTAAAGCATCAAGTCATGAAAAGGTTTATCGAATTTTCGAAAATAATTTACAGGGTGGTCGAAATTTCCACCTAAAACATAACATCGTGAAAACTGATGAAACACGATTTTTTCAAATGGAAACCATACACTATTCTATTATTTTTGAATACTACGAAAATGAAGATATCAAATTCATGAAGAATGTCCTATACTTAAAATACATTCCTGGTAAGATATATTCGACTTTGGGAAATATTTGAAATGTAAATCATTCGAAGCGATACCAAAGCAAGAAAGCTTTGAAAACAAATGAAGTTACAACAAATATGTCAAAATTTGATGCGATATAATTGATGTGTATTTCGTAGTTTCCTATTTTATTTGTGTGCAAAATGTCCCGTTTGGAGAATTCTAATGAAGATTTCCTGAATTTAATAATCATTTATGGTGAATGCAATAAGATAATGCACAGAACTTGTCGTGTTTTTGCAGAAAGGTTTCCAAATCTACACAGACCCAATAAAATATTCTGATAAGACTTCTGAGAAACTGCCGTGATTTCGGATATTTTTCGTCTGTCATCAACAAAAAAAAACACTCGTAAACAATGAGGACATCGAAATTGTAGTTATTTCCTACTTCACAGCCTACCCAGAAAATTCGTTGAAAGACGCAGAAAAGTCACTTAGAATTTCATGTTCGTCAATAAAGTGGCATCCCTTCAAATATCACCAGGTTCAAAATCTGAAACCTTACGACTCACCTGCACGAGTGGAGTTCTGAGAATGGTTTCTTATCAAGATACAGGAAGACCCTGAGTCCGTGAAGAACATGATATGGACAGATGAAGCCAAATTTGCCAAGAATGGTATGTACAACCGCCATAATAGTCATTTTTGGGCAGCAGCTCGTTCGCCAGCGCAATTTCCAGGATTCATGTAGTTTTAATGTTTTTTACGCTATAAAGGAAGACCGAATTTTATGTTCATATCTTTATGAAGAGAATATGGATAGCGATAGATATTCGCATATCTATAATTAGGAATGTGGTTGGTGAATCCATAAGGCATGTTTCTGAACAATACGGTTTCAACTTATGGTATCAGATGAATGGAGCCCCTGCACATTGCTGGGTTGTTGAATGTGATATTCGAAAATCAGTGGCTTTGCTACAATGCAATGGGCCATTCAAATTTCCTCCTCGCTCTCCAGACCTGACGCCACTGGACTTCTTCATCTGAGGATATATCAAAGAAAATGTTTATGCAGATCCTGTGAGTGATAAAGAATACATAAAACGAAGGGTTCTGAGAGCTTTCAATAATTTGTTTCCTGACTCCATACAGAAAGCTACAAATATTGGTATGAAAAAAAAATATATTCTTGTTTAGAACAGAACGGCAATGTCTTTGAACATCTGTTAAAATGAACAACAATATTATTTGACTTTAAAGAAACTAAGTTGAATTCTAAAATTAAAGTAAAATCTAACCTTGAAAAATATAAACAAAATGAAATTACTGAATTCGATATCAATAAACAAAGATATAATTCATCTCTCTGATAGTATTTTATTTCCATTGTTATACAAAGTGGGCCTAAAATCTGCTGAGAAATTAAAAAATGTAATAAAATACAGGGTGTTCTATTCGAAATAAGGAAGTTGCCCTCAACTTCCGGTATAACGGAAAGAGATCGGAAGCTGAAAATATTTTAGTCGAGAAGGATATTTTGTAAAACCCACTACCACAAAATTTTAAGTTTTTATTTTGAATAGTTCTCCATATATTCCTAACGAACGCTCGTCGTGAAATACCCTGTATACATGAATATATTCTCTCCCCATATTCATTACTAGATAACGCAACTAACAATGACCAATTCTGGCGTTCCAAATTATAAATCAGACCCCGATGGCAGAGCAGGAAAGAGACTAAAATTGTTCATCCAGAAACCATTCTTTACGTCATTAAACAACAATATTTTTCGAGAAATTCTAACCTACTTGTTGAACTTTCCACCGAATCTGCCGATCAATAGATATTTGGCTTCAACCGCTGTGAAATTATCGCATGAGATAAAAATGGTCGGGATACATTGCCAAAACTGAATTGTGAAAAATCTCTTCGGATATTGAACCATAATATACGTACGCTGTTCCGAGTTGGACAATGAAAAAGTATGTTGAATTTAAGTCCGCCCATTGTAAAATATAAATATTTAGTTTCCATTATTATTTGTCCAGTTACACCCCAGGAAAACAATATTATTTGACTTTAAAGAAATTAAGTTAAATTCTAAAGTTAGAGTAAAATCTAACCTTAAAAAATATAAACAAAATAAAATCACTGTATTCTCTCTGTATATCTCTCTGATAGTATCTTATTTCAATCCATACATTTTTATGTTGAGTTACCTTTTACCAACGACAGAGTTAATATTAGTTCATTTGTTTTCGAAGCTTTCTTCGTGTTTCATCAGTTTTCTCTATGTTATGTTTTAGGTGGAAATTTCGACCACCCTGTGAATTATTTTCGAAAATTCGATAGACCTGTACATGACTTGATGCTTAAGGGGTGATTCTGTGAAATTTCACATTTTCAACTGTCACTGTCTATGAGTTATGATTTTTTCGGAGTGGTACTGTAACTGTCAAATTTTTCAGAAAAAAATCAATATCTCGAAAACTAACAAATTTGGGTATAGATATTATTATACAAAGTGGGCCTAAAATGTGCTGAAAAATTCAGAAATGTAATAAAATACAGGGTGTTCTATTTGAAATAAGGAAGTTGTCCTCAACTTCCGGTATAACGGAGAGAGGGGGGAAGTTGAAAATAGTTTAGTTGAGAAGGCCATTTCGTAAAACCCACTACTACAGAATTTCAAGTTTTTATTTCGAATCGTTCTCCATATATTCCTAACAAACGCTCGTCGTGAAAGACCCTGTATACATACAGAACATTCAAATAAACGTCTATCTAGTATCTTTCTCCTAAGGAAAAGGCTACAATGTATTGGTAATCCAGATATACATATGTTTCACCCCGAATTTTATTCATAACGCATGAGAATAATTTCGTCGGTATTTTTCTACAGTTAGGATAGAAATACCGATATATTTCTGGATTATATTCTTATCGGAGATATTCAGTATGTAGAAAACATTGTCCAGATATTATTTAAGAAGTGTAGTGTCCCAAAATCAAAAGATTTCTCACCAAACCGTTACTCAATTTGGCATTCAAATGGTTTTCAGAACGTATTCATGTATGGAAGTCTGTACAGAAATATACAAGTTGAACTTCTGACATAACTGTCAATAATAATTTTATGTTAGATGATTTTTATATTCGTGCCATATTCGAGAAGTACAGATAATCCATTATGAAATATTGCAATCGACTGATGCAGATCAACTGACTATCCCCTCACTGAAAACAAACTACGCCTATATGAATCCTTGGCGAAGCAAACACTTGATACTTGCTTCAATATGCAGATAAATCGATTTACCTCCCAAATTGATCCCTTTAACGTTTTAATGGAAATCATAGAGTGCTAATGTATTTTGTATTTTATGCAAAGCACGAATTAAACACAGAACATAGACAACTTTGAGTATCAAACAATATCCTGAAGTTTTTATTTTCTCATTATCATATCCACTATTGCCTTTCACTTACATAAATCAGAAAATCTTCTTAATTGTTCACAACCTGCCAGAATTCAATATCAGAACACAAATCTTTTTAATGCTGTCACGTCAGAAATGGAATTAACATATGAATTTCTCCAAAGATATTGTCACTATTGTGTACGATATCTTGATCGCTTGTTAACAACACAACGACATCAAGAAAGTGTCGATAAATTTCCAAACTTGCACCCAATTACCTGAATTGGGACGAACAAGACACAATCAAAATGCTTCAGTCACGATCTTGAACCTTATAAATTCAACTGCAGCAAAGAAAACAATCAAAAGTATCATTGACATTATGACGAGTGTTCGGATAATAACACTGGTGCTCTTACCGGTAAAAGTTATGTGTGACGTGAGCAGCTTAGTGGGGGGTTATCATTACCCGCAACTCCATCCCCCAGTGCAGTTTGACGAAACACCTGCTCCTGACCCTCCGGGAGTTTACCTGCCACCACAGTACCAAGACGAAGTGATACCTCCATTCCCTGTCCCAGACCCAACATACCTACCGCCCTTGCCCCCCATATACCCCCCGCTGGCCACTCCTCCAGACATTTTCAGTGACGAAGACACTATCGCGATTTCAACTCCACCCCCCTCATCCCTCTATCAAGCACCATCACCACAGATGAAGATAGTCAACATGTCTTGCGTACAAGACAGTTTCTTCAAGTCAACGTTTCGGCTAAATTCGAGATCTTTTTCTCCACCCCCAGTTATTGATGATGGTGTAGATGGATGTATCACTTCTGGTTCAGCAGGTGTTCATTCAATCGACATGGAGGGAAGCAGGAAGATGGCTAGTTGTGGTGTTCGCAGGTGTTCCGCAGGGAGTGGTTCTAGGGCCAATATGTGCGTTGTAGTGAGGATGCCAACGGTAAAGGGGGTTAAGTTGCCGGAGGATTTTGTTGTAACTTTGCAGTGCATTCCACAGGAGAGCATTGTTTCACATACGAAGCAAATTAGATTGGGACCCACGTAAGAACTTTTTTTTGACGAACAATAATGATACTTTCAAAACAAATATTTCGTCCTAAACACCAGAACTGCGATACTCTACCCGATGTACGTTTCACCAAACTAGTTGGCGTCTTCAGGATAGGAAGTTACTATTAGGTTCAGGAACAATCGCTTTTCCCAATCAACAGAAATGCATTACTTTTCTCGACGCGCAGTCAAGTTGACATCTTCAAGTATACTCAATCACCACTGCTATTTTCAGATAGAGACGCAGTTGGATACAGGACAAGTTATAGTTTCAATTCTATCGAATATGAAATATTGTACATTGTTCAATAAACATAGTTCAATAAACAATTAACATTGAGCTCCTACACAGAACTGGTTTATTATCACTTGATTGAAATCATCTCAATTCAGCCTATCCAAAAGACACTTCATTGTGATATCTTCACTAAACAGTATTACAAAAACACAACACGTGTTTCGCTATACAATGGCTTCTTCGTGAAGACACGCTCGAAGAAGCCATAGTATGGCAAAACACGTGTTGCGTTTTTGTAAAACTGTTTGGTGAGAATTTCACAATAAATTATTTTTTGGGTACGTTAGTTATGGATTTTCATCAAGGATAGGCCAATTCCTTCGTATATCTCAATTTAGCTTGTTCGATGACCTATTCATTTTGTAGAAATTCATATTGAATAGAATAGAAAAGAAAATAACTTTTGTCTAATTTCTATTTGTAATTTTCATTCGATATGACTGGTTTTGGTTTGTTGAACCATTTTGAAGTAAACTGACGCCTATTGGCGAACGAATGCTAGACTATACAATATACATTATAGAGTCATGTCTTTTCGGTACCTGCAATAGGTACTTATTTGAATCATCAAAACCTCATCTGAGATACCAAAACAATAATGATTTAACTTCTAACTAACTTGGTAATTTTGATATGTCAGATAAGGTATTGATAATTAATTTTTATTATTTCAGGTACCTCGTGCAGGTACCAAAAGGACATTGACTGTGATTGACATTGATTGTATATTAAAGGATTTGTTTGTCAAAATGCGTCAGTTTACTTGAAAATGTTTTATAGAACGTAGACACTAGACAAAAGATATTTTCATCATCCTAGATCTCAATTCAGAACAGAAAATAAGATGATTATTGAATGTTTACAAATGTTAGTAATCTAGCACCCACCTTCAAGTTATCTGAGAAATACCCTCATATCTGTAAATTGCATAATTCAAATTTTATAATTTGTTTTTTGCAGTTCTGTAGAAAGAGGAAGATCTTCGAACAATGCTATCGTGGCCAGTGGTGGGGGCAAACAGAAATTCCACAGTCAAATGGTACTACTTAGGAAATCCCCTGGAAGCAACAACTTTGATCAAATCTTGCAAAGTGGAAGCGTGGTATTTCTCGGAGAAGATATAATATTGAGAGCAATTGTACAGGATGGCGATGGTATGTTTGAAAACTATACATATTTCAGTTTCAACACTATTTTGATAGATAGAATTGTAACCGCTGGCGTGACATGAATTTATTGAAAACCAATTTGATAATTCAGGAGTTGGCTGAAACTAAATGTTACTGTTATTATATGTTTCTGTTCCTAATTTTATTCATTACCTGTTTTCTGACTGTAATCATTACTCAACATAAATATTACTGGAGTTTTCTCCCAACACCAAATCGTCATTTTTAACATCTCAACATCAAAGGGGAAGGTTGAACCTGAGTTTGATCACTTGGTGATCGATAAACGTGTCGAAGTGTTAAAAATAATGATTTGGTGTTGGAATAAAACTCCAGTAATATTCATTACTACACCAAAGGTTCCAAACAGTGCATCATAATTACTCAACATAGTAAACAACAGGCCGATTGTTCATAGATATCCCATTTTACATGTTTAGATTCATGGCCGGTCGGTAGCCAAGCGGTTCGGCGTGTGTGCTATGTTCACTCACTCGAATTGACTGCCGTGTTGGTCGGTGGTTCAAGCCCTAGTCTGAACGATCGATCTTTACTTGCTACCGTCCAACCCGTGTTAGCAATCACACGTTAAAAGGTAAGACCTCGTTAATCCTTGGCTTGCACAAGTTTCGACTTCTGAGGGTTGTCGTTCGTAGGGATGCGACAGCTGGTTAACGGAAAAATAGATTTTAAACTTATGAAGGCATCTGAAAGCCTGTTGCAGCAGATGGTAGATGCTGGTCCTACCCGGCATCGCCCGGTGAGAAACCATCGCAACAGCTTAGGAAGCGTGAAATTGCTTTTGGGTAAACGTTTCGTTGCTGTGCCGCTGTTTCACTTTTCAAGGCTGGAAATATAAGGAAAAATGCGTGATAGCGCTCCTAAGGTCAAAATACTCCGGAAGTAAAATAGCTCCTTAATCGAATTTACAAGTGGAGACGGATTCGGAGGAATCATTCTGCAGAAATTATTCGAAAACCACTATTTCTGACCGTCAGCAGGGTCTTTCTAACATCAGTCCACAGGGAAATAGCATGTTAACTGCAGTTGCAAAGAGAACCACTAGCAACTTCAAACTCAGAGGACTCAACTCAAATATAAACTCAGTGCACCAACATCTGCAATCAAATAGCCCTCATAATCTTGCACTCAAAGAAACCAAAGTCAGTGCTTCATCAATCCCCGCAAATTTTCTATATCCACTCTCGATTCAGACATAACTTTGGAATATCTCGTTTCAACAGCACCGATCTCTTCTGTCAACGAGAGGAAATGCTGGAACCCCGAAACTTTGATGTTATGTGGTTGAAAATAATATTACAGAAGATCACCAAAATCATATGCTGCTTTTATCGACCACCTAGCGATACACAGTACAGGGTGTAACTGAATATGTGTAAAACATTTAAGAAGGTGATTCCTCATCGAAAAAAAGATAGGATCTTTCGTATAAAGAAACTTCATTGGAGCATCCCTTGTTAGGATACAGCCCCTTAAAGAGGGTACATAAAATTTGTATAACAATTTTTTTCACAAGCACTGAAAAAGTTACAATATTGAAATCAACCTGACGTTTTGTACTACCAAAAATACACTCAGCCATTAATTTATTTGGTTTACCCCATGGTTGTAAGGGGCGGAAAACGCAACCCCTAAAATTTATTTCCAATGTAACTTTTTGTCTTATTATTTGTTTACCATTTGAAAAATTATATCCGATAGCCTGTTTCATTCTAAACAAAAAATGTATCTTGGGTTTTTTGCCCAAAATAAACCAGTTCGCAGCAAAAAATCATTTTACGAACAACTACAGACATACATCGTCATGAATGAGAACTGGATTTATTGTTATTTTGTAGTTAGTACCTGCTTTGAACGCATGCGTAATGTCTACCTGCGTCTAGACGTCGGCGCATTGAGCCACGTATTCGCTCAAATATTCCTGGAATCTCTCTGATTACCCTGCACGCATCGATGATGCGGTTTCTTGAGTCCTCTACATCGCGAACAGGAGTACGATAAACCAAATGCTGTTAATGGCCCCAAATAGAGAAATCGAGAGAATTGAGATCCGGGGATCGAGGGGTCCTCTTCGACCTATCCACTGATTTGCATATGTTTCAGTTAAATGCTGACGTGCTACTTGACTAAAATAGGCGGAAGCCCCATCATGCTTAAAAAACATGTCCCTTCTGACGCCCAAAGGAACTACCTCCAGCAGTACTGGATGCACTTCTCTTGAAAATTGAACGTATGACTCATCATTTAATTGAGGAGATACAGAATGAGGCCCAACTAAATCATCTCCAATAACTCCGAGCCACACGTTAAGAGAAAACTGTTTTTAATGGTTAGTTTCGACAATAGCGTGAGGGAGAATGAGCCAACCAGGATTTCTGACCATGATGGAGAATATGATAGGCTTCTAGATTTACACCTAACAACCTATCCAGAAACTTACTCAGTCACCGTAAGGCCTCCATTGAGATATTCTGACCGAAAACTCATTTCAGTGTTGAGTGAATTACCGATGAATGTTGAGGAATAAACTTAGCCGCGCAAACTTTGGCATTACAGATCTGCTGAATGGAAGGATCTTCAAGACCATTTCCGAAATTTTTCCCGGCTCGATGTTTGTTTCAGCTCTAAAGATATATCAACTTTTGCTTCTGCAATCACGGAAGTTATTCTATCATCCATGGATTCATAAACTCCTTTTTCAATGAAACAACCTTCTAACGGCAAACCTTGGTTCAACAAAAATTGCGAACAAGCTGTCGCCTCCAAAAATCTCGCCTACCGGCAGTGGCGCAAATATCCCAATGCCGAAAACTGAACTAGGTTTGTTAATGCTCACAACAGTTGCAACCTTAGGAAAAATGACAGCAAAGAACTTCACTATCAGAGAATGAGGGATAAACTGCCTGCCAATCCCAACGGGTCCAGATCCTTCTGGTCGGTAGCTGAAGCTGTTGATCAGAACTTTACCAAATCCCCAATTCCAATGCAATGGTTCAATTGCAACAATAGCCATAGAAAAAACAAATCTACTAGCTGAACAATTTACGTAACACTCCACAGTTCATTTTCTGGGAAAGGCACCACCCACTATTCCCACACTAGAATCCACAATGCCTAAAATTACTTTTCGACAGCGTCTAGTCGGGCGAATTTTGAAACAACTCAATATCAACAAAGCGTCTGGCCCTGACGAAGTGCCCGTTATCATACTTCGAGAAAGTCGTAAATCACTATATTCTCAAATATTTGGAAGGCTTCAACATCTTTCGGAAACAAAGTTCAACAGGCTACCTATTATCGTATGTCATCGTATGGCATGAGGGTTTGCTGGCTTTTCGGATCATGGCTTTTCGGATCATTTTTGTGTATGGATCTCCAGCTTTCTGGAAAAACGTGCCCTGCAATTGGCCGAAGGAAGATATTTCTCTAATACCTCCACCATCAACTCTGGTGTTCCCCAGGGATCCACATTATCTCCAACCCTCTTTTTATTGTATATCAACGACTTATTGGGAAAAACCAAGAATCCAATATATTTCTTTGCTGACGACAGCACACTTGTCTCGTCCTCCCATTTGAATTCCAGGATATCGACACATCTTCACCTGCATCAAAAGGTTGCATATCTTAGTGAGGATATAGAAGTGATTTCGAGTTGGAGAAACCAGGATCAATTCAATGCCACGAAAACCCAAGCATTGGTTTTCTCCAAGAAGATAAATGTCTCCGATCCAGATACAATAATGTCAGGTCAGACATTTTCTCTATCACGAAAAAAAGTTATTTCAGTACCTGAAGAGGGCGAATTGTTTTCTTTCAGTCATAATGCCAATAATTCTGAAGCTTGTTTAGAGAGATCTAAATCTCTCACAAGATCATGTACCTCATTTCGGGAAAAACACTGACTCATTTGACATACCTTCAAAATCAGCATTATTCTGTGATGAACTTAGTCGTTCATTGTCTTGTTCTGAGGGTTCAGATATAGTTTTAGCCACTGACAGGTCAGATTAACGCTGCACTGAAAACTGAACACAACTAGTACTTGGGTTCTGCCATTAACCTCGATTTTTAGTATTTAAACCATTTAAGTTCACACTACAAAAGTAACAGTCATCGTTATGATTTTTTGGTTCTCGCCAAATAGTTGGTGTTCCAAATTTGAAGGCACTTCGTTCACCACTTTTCCAAAATCTTAAGTATTCCACACATAAATACAATCACGAGCCTCATGTTTACCCAAGACCATCCCAAATTACCCAAAATAGGTATTTTTCACCAACTCTGATATAACTTTCCAACATTTGTTCAACACATATTCTCCGCATATATAGTGAAAATTATTTGGATTGTTAAAACAACTTTAGATACTAATCTAAGCACAGTGAAATACGCGCGTTGTCGATAAAGAAATACGTTTGAATAGTAAAAATCGAAAACAAAGTAACTCGAGCTGTACAAAAACTTTTGAGGGTCGATTTTGCGGCAATAAACAAAACGGTAAATTTTGTTAACTAGTGTAATTGATTTGGAATGATCACAATTCTGATCTCACACGTTGAAATGTTCGCACTATGAACTGATAACTAATGGAGTGTGTTACAGGTTGGAAATTCAGTCGTATGGGACCGGTAACTTTGAGAAGCTCAAATTCCCAGAAGAGTCTCACGCTGGTAGAGGAAAATGGTTGCCGAAGTCCAGGAATGAAATTGATTTGCCCTTTCCAACCCCGTCAGCTGAGTCCTCTGGACACCATGTTGCATTTCCGAGCATTTTTGTTCCAAGACTCACAAAGAGGAGACGATATGGTGCTATCCGTGAAAATGTTGGGCTGTTTGCATTCCCAAGATTGTTTTAGGGTATGTGAAATATAATGAGTGATTTTTTTGCTGGTAACTTTTTGGCAACACTGTTTTTGACAGATCACCATGAATCGACTTACGAATGAACAACGCTTGCAAATTATTGAATTTCATTATCATAATTCATGCTCGGTGAAAAAAGTGCATCGTGCACTTCTTCCAATTTATGGACAGTTTCGTCGGCCTTCTGAGCGAGCTTGTGACTGAATTTCGAACCCAGTTTACATTATTGGACATTAAACCACCAACACGTATACGTAGAGTGAATACCAGAGAAAATATCGCGGCAATTGGGCCTCTGTTACTCCACTACGTGGAAAATTTTGCGAAAGGATTTGGGTGTGAAGCCTTATAAGATACAGCTGGTGCAAGAATTGAAGCCACACGACTTCCCACAACGTCTAACATTTGGTGAATGGGCGCTGGAAAAGTTGGAGAAAGATCCACATTTTTATTGAAAAATTGTGTTCAGCGACGAGGTTCATTTCTGGTTGAATGGGTACGTTAACAAGCAAAATTGCTGCATCTAGTGTGAAGACCAGCTACAAGCATTGCAAGAGTTACCGATGCATCCCGAAATAGTCACTGTTTGGTGTAGATTATGGGTCGGTGGCATCATCGGGCCGTACTTCTCCAAAGACGACAATGGCCGAAATGTTACTGTGAATGGCTAGCGCTACCGTGTGATGATTGACGACTTTTTGTTGCGCAAAATAGGAGAATTAGACATGCCTGACATGTAGTTTGAACAAGACGATGCCACATGCCCCACGGCACGCGGAACGATGGCCCAATTAAGAAACGCCTTCGGTGAACAGTTTATCTCACGTTTGGGGCCCGTCAATTGGCCGCCTAGATCGTATGATTTAACGCCTTTGGATTATTTCTTTTGGGGTCACGTTAAGGCTCATGTCTACAGGGATAAACCAGTAACGATTAACGCTCTGAAAGCCGATATTGAAGCATTTATACGTGAAATATCGGTCGATATGTTAGAGAGAGTGTGCCAAAATTGGACCTTACGCATGTGCCATCTAAATCGGAGCCGCGGACAACATTTGTATGGAATCATCTTCAAACATTGAATTATATTGATCGTTCTATCGATTCCCATAAAGATTTCATCAGTTTTTTCTAATTTTTTGTGTTGTTTTGAAAATCAAATCATATACCTCCTGAAAAATGACCCGTTATTTGCGATGACAGGCGAGGATTACAAATATTATGAAAATGTAAAACTTCAACAAGAATATGGTTCTGAGAAAACATCATATCCACTGGCATACTGAAGAAGCACACATTCATTGTAGATAGTCGATTCAAAACTACAGTGTTGGTTTTGGCTTTATCTCTCAAAAATCATCGAAAAACTGGTGAAAAAAAGAGTATCAGCTTTTCTTTATAAATACAATATATCATCCATCTTTCAATTTGGCTTTCAGAAGGTAAGAGGCACAAATGATCCATTCTTTTTCTTTCTTGAACATGTCTACACACATCTCAACAATGAGGAGGTCGTAGCTGCAGTATTCTTCGACTCCTCCAAAGCGTTTGATTGTGTTAATCATGAACTTCTTTTGAACAAGTTGAACTGGCTTTAGAGGCGTATGTAATGACTGGTTCAGGTCTTACATAAGTGATAGAAAACAGTTAGTGAGATCAAACGAAAAACTATCACAACTGAGAATATTTTATGAGGCGTTCCACAAGGATCTCTACTGGGTCCGATTATTTATTTTATATGTAAATGACATCGTTATTCTGTCAATTCAAGGAATTTTTACGATTTTTGCGGATGACGTCACGCTCTTTTGCCATGGAAAAACCCTTATAATATGAAAGAAATTATCTCTACTGATTTATAAGTTATGAAAAAGTGTTGTGACGCAAACTACTCGTGATTTAATACTAAAAAAACCAACTTTCCTACCTTCAGCTGTAATATCAACAATTTTTAGTGGAATAGAAACCAATCCAATTTACTGAGAAACTTCATCGTTAGGTTAGATTAGGTCGAAAGTGAGTGAGTCTATTCGAGCCTCCACCGCAACCCGCAAGGGTTTATTGTGGCTCACAAATATTCAAAATCGACCAAATAAACTCAGCTTTTTGACGAAGCCGATCAGTTTTTAGGGTGAGTGATCTTTCAGAAGTCAGATAGTAGAAGTGTGGTTCTGAGAAATTCTAAAAACCTGATTCGATCCGCAGTGGGGCAGGCATAAAGTATATACTCTGATGTTACATCATTTTCCAAACAAAGGTGTAACATACTATTTTCCCACAGTCCGAGTCTCTCCGTATGATGATTCAGACACCAGTGACCTGTAAGGAGACCTGTTAGACATCGTAGTTTATCCCTACTGTAGTCCAACAACTGTTTGGAATCAAGCTTCGATGGGTGAATGATTGCCTTGGAGTGAACCAATCCTGGATGATTTTGCCAGAAGTCTTTATATCTTCTTGCCATCCAAGAGTTCAATGTTTGTTTGGGAAAGCCTGAAGCCACGCCAATGACAGGTTCTGGACCGATGAAGCTGCTTGCCCTCCTTCGCAATTCGTGAATTATTGGGTAATAAAATGGAATGCAATATTATCACTCCAAAACAGATTTTCTACAAGGTCAATATTGTTTGGTAACAGACTTCTAATTAGATTTGAGTAGCAGTATTGATGGGCTGGATGAAGGAAATCGAACTATTGAATTTGGATATCAACAATCTATGTGAGAATTTGGATATCGCCATAAAGTTGTGAATGGAGAATTTCAGATATAGTTGTGCAAATTTTTTCATTTCTGATGGTAAACACAATGGAACTTTTCTTTTTCATTTTTTGAACAAATTGTTCTGTAGCAAATGTTTTTTATATTTCAACGATATTTATTCTCATTACTATCAATTGTTGCTGATGACGATATTTATTGTTATAGTGTTTTATATAGGAGATCGCTCATATGATTTCAAACATTTCAGAATGGAATATGTGACCAACCCAACTTGTCAGCTCCATCCAGATCGAAGAGATCCATCAAAAATAATGACACTACCAATTGGGAGTCCCAGATTCAGTTTCGAGTTCAGATGTCTCAAGAAGATACACCAAGAAGTGGAAAATTCATGAACCAGTTCCATTTTTCCACTTACCACATCGTGATATTTGTTATCGGAATTTTTATTACTGTATTATTATTATTATTCATATTTCATTGTTATAGGAAGAATAGCTGAGGAAAGTTTACTATTCCAGACCAATGAAGTTCCCAAGTTTGCGACTGGCAATAATGAATATGTGAAAATATATCAAATTGTAATATCTCTGCAGCTTTATATACATATTTTTTTTTAATTATATTCAACAATTTATTTATCAAGACTTTATCAATTTCAATCGATTCATTTCACGACAAAGGTTCCAATCCTACCTATCAAATCCCATTATGATCTTTAAAATATTTCTCCTGTTGAAATTTTCTGAAATTTACTCGTCTTCATTTTCAGAAAAAAAGTCATGACAAAGAATAACTTCAAACACGAAAGTTATTCTGGAATATTCAAGCATTCATTGACTACTTTCATCGGATATTTTATTGGAGCTATTATATCCTCAAATGATTTTATTATTTCTAGTTTTTGAAACATGAATCAATATATCAATTATTTTTGCCTACCTAGCGCATTTTCCGCTACTGCCGATTCATCTAATTGTCCCAATCTGCAGTTCTAGTAGCCATGGAGCTCTCTGTGGTTCCGGCCAATATTTACTACACGAACATGTTATAAGATATACCTCAGTTTTCAGAAAAAATAGAGAAAATAATGTTACACACTAGAGAATCCGTTAGGAACATGGATTTGAGAAAGCTCCAGCAGACATTATTGCAAACTTTTTATGCCAAAATAATCTCAGTTTCAATGCGTCTGAAATCATACTCAACAATGGTTTTAGTTGAAATCGTCATAAAAAAATAAAGAACTCATGAACAAAGTTTTATCCTTTCATAATATTCCCTCGCAATGGAAGTCTCGACATTTGTAATGTTATTCAAAACTCATCAGTTAATACTTTCCAATACATATTTCCTCCATATTCACCAAATAATCAAGATATAGTTATCTGAATAAGTCTAATATCATCATAGACAACCATTATGGATTTCACGAATGTAAATCGGCAAAAACTGATATGCGTTCTCTCTACAAATCGTCGCCGAAGTTCATGGATGCAAGTGAGCAGGGCATTTGACCGTGTCTATCGTGAATTCATTATAAATAAACTTGAAGATGTTGGTATTTGTTGACAATCCCTGAAGTGGATCACATATTACCCACATGGACCTTGTCAATATCTCAAATACTACGTAACATTCAACACATGACTATAGATCTGAATATCTTTCTTTTACTATGGATGTACCGCATGGATCTGTTCTGAGTCCGATTTCATTTCAACTGTAGGGAAATGACATTTGCCTCGATCATTTCAGGAACCCAATCCACCCTCTATGCTGACGATTCTACAATTCTTTTATCTGATCATAATCATGCAACGGTTGAGAATCAGAATCGAAATCATTTTATTCATCACAAAAGAATACACATTGTGTGGTGAAAACTACAGAATATGTAACTTATCGGACTAGTCAAAAAAAATAAAAAATAATAATAAAAAAAATATATGACACAAGATCTAATGAACTTTTACAAGACCTGAACTACTGGTTCTGCATAAAAGAACTATCTCCAAACAAAAACCCAATTCATTCACTAATAAAAGTATACCAGAATCCATAAAGTTGACGAGAGCTTCAACTGGAAAAAATCACTGTGAAGGAGTTGTTTCGATGATTGGGTTTCTCGATTATCTATTCCGGAATCTGAAATTTTTTTCCACAATCAACTGATCATGCACAGGTCTAGTCACGCTTAAGATATGGAACAACGTATTTTGAAGCATATCTCCAGATTTTCATAACGTTTTTGTTTCGCAGAAGCTATCAACACGCTGTATTGCAGGTATCACTTATGTGACCTCTTTTCAGACTATTTCAGAAAATTCAATATATCAACAATTTCGTTGGTCGATTAAAATCCACTATGAAGTGCACACACTATGGACACTCATTAGTAACCTTCGATCCTTTCTGGGATTTGTCTCTCCCCATACCACAAAGAACTGACCAATTGAGTTTGTCACAATGCTGGGATTCCTTCACAAGAGAGAAAACTCTAAATGGAAATGAAAAACCAACGTGTTTGAGGTGCAAGGAAATAACTAAATGCACAAAGTCCATATCAATCCATAAGTTCCCCGTATTTAAGTAATTCATTTAAAAAGTTTCTCTCCAATGGAAAAATTCAGAGGCAAATTAAATGTTGCCATTGACTTTTTTTTAAAAGAATTCGATGTGGCCAATTATGCAGCAGACAATACGGTTCCTTGTCGTTATAATCTAAATGTACTTTTGAATTACAGTGGTACTAATTACAACAAGCATTACACAGCATATTGCAGACACCCTTACAGTGGCACATGACATATATACGATTTACACTTGTTCCCAATTTCAACAAAATCGCTTGTGAGTGAAGAGGCTTATGTCCTCTTTTATGAACAGAAGGGATCGAATCCGCACCTTTGAAGTGATTTTTTTATAAACTGTATTCTGTGAATTGATTTGTATTCCATACTTTGCAAAAATATACTTAGATAAGCTTTGATTTTGTAAGTACTCTGAAAACACTTATCATATTATTATCACATTCAGATAGGTATTCAATAATCAACATTACCTGAATTCCATATTCACGTAGTTTGTATTTTCACATCCAATAACATGAACCAATTCAAAACAAATACCTGAATTCCTAATATAGGCACCAGATGTGTTCGTGGATTACATAACCCTCTCATTAAATATAAGGATCACTACGAATCTGCTTTCATTATTGCCCTTCTTCGAGCGGTTTATTTAAAATATGTCTTGACACACAGCAAAATTAGAGTAATTTTCTTTTTCTACATCTCAATCATAGTATTACAAGGAAGATTTTCATCAATGTTCAATCCTAAATGGGCCTATCACTTTTGCTAATAATTTTACACTTATGAGGAAATATAATTCAAAAGATTTGTTGATCATTTCCTTCATAATTAGAATCAATTCTTATTTCACATATCCAAAACTATATACTGAAATCTGATCGATCATATCCAGATACCTAGTTTTAATCAAGGCTTGGAATAATATTCCCAATTTTGTCAACACTTGCAATTTTCACAAAACATTTTAAACATTGAAACCCAGATTGGTAATTGAATAATTTATTAATTTGAAAACAATAGAATATGAGTATATAACAAATAAATAGAAATAATCCACAAAACCTTTGGTCCCTATACATTACGAGTCTTGCAAATTATAAAACAAGATGGAAATACATGCACAAACCAATTCCTGGTGGTGAAGTATTAAAATTTACACAATACACTGCATAATACAATATAAATAATTACACACGCTACAAAAATTAGTCTATAACATTGAGCTTCAAACACATGACTAAAGAGTATAGTTAATATGTACAAAATGTATATATTTGCTACTCAAGCTTTCGCAGCCTTCAACCCCTTTTTACCCCCAAAATTCCTAATCGCCGATAACAGCTGATCCCTTTGGTCCATCACAGGCTCCACAGGCTTAACTACTGACTTTTTCAACACCACTTTCTGCATCTGTGGTGGAGGAGGAGGAGCTTTGATAATATCAGCAGAGAAATTATTTTCCAGCCTTCCATTTAAGGCGTTGGATTCTCTCTCAAAGATTTTATTGGAATCCACTGTCTTTCGCAAATTATTCTGAGAAAAACCCACTTGGGTATTGGTCGCGAAGCTTTCCCTATCTCTTGGTTTGCTGGGTAAGGTGTTGAAGCTATTGGGCACGTTCCAAGACAGCCTATTTGCCCAATTGGTTTCGTTGTTCGTTTTGAACCCTCTCACAACAGGAGCGGGGGTGGGTTTAAAACTGATAACTCTTGAAGCAGGCTTGGTTTCTTCAGTGTTATTAGCTTGGTTGAGATATGTTTTACTGGATAAATTTTCTGAACTTCTATACATGCTTGAAAACTTATTTCTCAACCCAGACACTGATTCATCCCGATTCAGCTGCGTTACTGAAGTGTTTCCTAAATCTTTGAAAGGCTTCTTGAGTTCAACTGACCTCACCACAGGTACCCTAGAAATGTCGAAATCGGAGTCAAAAGCAACGGAGTGTGGCCTCTGATTTTTCCCCGAGGTAGAAAACGGTTTCCTGTAGCCTGTAGCTGTCGTGTGGCTGATGAACCTGCGACTGTCGATTGCCTTAGGACCTTGTGAGTTGAGGTCTCCAATTTTAATAACTACATTACCTTGCTTGATAGGTTCGGTGCCGTTTACCTTGATACTGACGCTATTATCCGAAGCGTTTGTGTCGTTTGTTGGGTTATTACTTTTGATTTCGATGCTGTTATTGCTTGTTATATTGTTATTCGTGGTATTGACTATGAGCTTCGAAGAAACATTTCCAAGAGTATAGTCTGCATCTTCCTTGACACTTACTGGCACCTTTGGTCTCTCGGACCAGGTTCCCATGTTGATTGTTGGAGGACCTCTGTACTTGTACGTTTTTTCTGGTGGTTTTTCAATGGTCTCTGGAGGTTTTTGAGGAGTTCCTTTTAAGATTTCCGTAGTTTCTGTCAGGTTCTTGGTGGTTTCCTCTGGGGTTTTGGATTCCTGTGGAGTTTGGATAGTTTCTGGAATTGTCTGTTCGATTTGCTGCTGTTCCTTGTTATTTTCATTTGGTAGTGACTTCTTAGGGGGTTCTTCTCTAATTTCTAGCTTCACGAAAGGTTTTCGTTGTCTTTCTTGAACATTGAGGTTCTCCATGGAAGTAGTGGGAGTGTTGAGCTTGTTTTGGATCATTCTCATCACCTGAAATGTTAAACTCATCAGTGGGAATCAGTGGAAGCGATAAAAAGTTTTGTTGAATTGATTTTAATTCCCACACTTCCCAAGAATTTTAAAATTTTCATTGCTTTCATGATAATGCAATGCAATGAAGAGAGATAGGGTGACTAAGTTGAACCAATGAGATCATCCACTTCTGTTCAGAATAGAAAGTGAGGGAAAATAATTTCAGTAAGAAGAAGGTAACAAGTTGTCAATTTTTATTTTTCTGTGGTGTGTTTTTATCTCTACGCTCTAAAAAGCGACACCTCACTACGATCTTCCAATCAATCGATCAATTTATCTATACAGGGTGTAACATAAGTACGTTAAAATATTCAAGTGACGTATTCCTGGGACAATTTTAAGAAAAAAAGTCTTTATGAAGTTGTGTCCGAAAATGCTTCGTTTCGGAGATACGGGGTGTTGAAATTGAATTTTTTTGTTCGCTTTTTGAAAATAACTCTTGAAAAAAATAAGTTATTTACACGAAATTCGGTACCCTAGGTTTTTTTGACGTGGGAAATCATAATTTCGTATTAATTTTCATGTAACTTCTAGAGGGCGTTGCCTACGCTGTCATTATTTATTTCAAATTGCCCCAACTTTTTTCACAGTGAACTTTTGGTACTTTTCATGAAAATACCTAATTCTCACACCTTTTCCAAGTAAAAAAGGTACATCTCCTCAACAACGCTGGAGGTGATCGTTTTCGAGATATTTACAATTTTCTATATCGATGCATATTACTTACTCCTAGGGCGCTAATTGAAGTTGCTGAGAACATTACAAAAACTAAGTATGTGGTGGATTTCGTCAAAATAAACAACTTTTTTTTTATAAAATGTTTAACGAAGAATGATTCGTTTTCGAAATACATATTGTTGAAATTTTTCAAAACATGGTAAGTTTTTGTCGTAAGTTTTTTGCAATTTCAGTTATTTTTACCAAACTTTATACGCAGTATACCCGTACAAACGTCTTCTGAGCATTATCGAACTACTTATTCAACCAAATTGAAAAAAATTGTCATGTTCAATTATTCAATTAGAAAGTGCTACATTTCGGAGTTTGTGAAAAAAAAACAATTCGGAGAAGTGACTGTTCAAAGTGACGACTCCAAACAGTAATACAAGCGTCTGCTCTCCTCATCAAAGAATTCCGCAACCGTTGAAAAATGTTGAAAATAGTGATTTTTGGGTGTCCCCAAAATGAAAAATCGATGGGATTGAGGTACGGTGACCTCGGGAGCCAATGCTAAGTGCCTCCTCTTCCTATCCATCGTTGGGGATATGCTACGTCTGAAAAATGTCTTGCTATCACACTAAAATTAGCAGGATCTCCATCGTGCATAAATTGAGCGTGATTTGGGGAAAAAATGTAAGCATCTTCATTCATACGTGATTGAAGAAAATAGGGCCCAATCAAATAATTCCCAATTATGCCTACCCATACGTAAAAAGAGAATCTGTCTTGGAAATGAGTTTGCGTTATCGCATGTGAGTTATCTGCCGCCCAGATGTGGTTGTTATGGAAGTTCATGATACCATTTCTTGAAAAATTAGCCTCATATGTGAAGTGGATTTTCGATAAAATTTACGGATGTTGTTCGACTTTTCTTTGAAGCCATTGAGAAAATTCGATACGTGGTTGAAAATCACGTAGCGTAAGTGTCTGGACACGCTGAATATGATAAGGATATAATTGTTGTTCCTTTGAAACTCTGTAAACTGTCATGTGGCTCACATTTAAAGTTTGACTAATTTTTCTTGTATTTGTCTCTGGATGGTCACTAATTTCTTCGAGAAATACTTCCTCCAATTCTACAGTTCTTGTAGTCCATGGCCGTCCTACTGCAGAATTTGTTTCAAAGCTTCCAGATTCGGAAAATTCAATTTCAACACCCCATAACTCCGAAACGAAGCATTTTCGGACACAAGTTAATATTTTTTCTTGAAATTGTCTCAGGAATACGTCACTTGAATATTTTGACGTACTTATGTTACACCCCGTATAATATTTCACTATATCTCTGCATGATATTTCAATATTCATGATGCAGTCTCACTTACCCCAAAATGAGATATATAAATCATTTCAATTTTTTTTCATGAATGCAAAAAAAATCGTTTTTCACCTAACTGTATTTTCTGTATTTTGTACCCCATCTAACAGTACATTGCATTATTAGGCACTGAAAATTTATTGTGTTTTCTACCAGCAGTGATCATAATTTGCAAATGAAAATTAACATTTCGGACTTTTTTCATTATTGACATATGAATGAATGCAATAACGAACGACTAGTATGACATAAAAGATTGTATTAATAGAGGTATGCTTTCGAGTTTGTGAAACATCAGTCACCTGTAATATTCAACTTGTGTCTGGGATTCAATAATTTCAGAAAAAGTGCACTTTTCAAAGGAAACAACACACAAAACACGACTACTTCCACATACGTAATGAGTCATTATTGTTCGAATAGATAAAGGTACAATTACTCTGATATCTAGCATTTTTAGTCAACAAAATTATACAATGATAGCTAGCAATGTTCGTAACAGTATAATAAAAATTTTATTCAGTCATAGCAACGGTAAGTCACTGTTCTGAAAAAAAAACGTTCTTCCCAAATATTGGATTTTTCAAAAGTTTTGTCTATTTTGATGTCATGTGCTTCTGGAGCTCCATATCTCAGTAATATGTATTCTACTGTGTCGTGGTATACAGAGTATTCCAACGAAAACTTGATCCCCCCTGTAAGTCAGAAACGGACGTATAATCGAAAATTTCAGAAACACATCAATTTTTATTTCTAGAGAAACTGATTCTCATATGGAAATCATACCGAAACTTCACCCCCCTGCGGTCAGCAACTATCCCCTATTTTTTCAATGGCATGGGTGGTTCGAGTGATACATCATTTGCAAGGTATTTTATCCCTCTATTAATTCTGTGATTTTTTTCGAAATTGGTTCATTCGTTATTGAGAAATTTTATGTTGAACGTTTTATTTGAGACAAAACAGAAAATTTGCTATTGCTCATTTTATTGAGGAAATCAACAAGAGTAATATCAATGACAACACAAGCAACGGATGGAGTGTTCGAAGTGACCTCTATCTAGTTCCATACAATAATACTTTTGAAAGCGTTTCTTTCTTTATTGAAGATGTCCGGAGTCAGAAATCGGCATTCCCGAACAACACTCTGTGGCAGGTCTTCTGAAATGTTAGTTTTCTCTGCACTGGTAGTTGTTGAATCTAGTCGCAGAACAAAAAGTTGGCAACTGTTACTTCTTCACTAATTATCATTCAGTAATCCTTGTTCACTGTTTCCCAACATGGTTTATTCTACTGAAGGAAGAATAGAAATTGTTGCAACCTATTATCGATATAATGAATATGATAAAGCTGCTGCAAGAATTTATAATACGAATCATCCAGACCATGACGTGAGCCATCAATACGTTGAACACTTTAGAACATGTACAGAACGGACAAGTAGCTAGAGCGTTTGGTGTATCAGCTACTAGTATATTCACCCCAGGAGCTTTTTACAGCTTACTAAACACAAGATCGCCATTGAACATCTAAAATAGATCCCATTTTGGTTATCTTATATCAACAGAAACTCGACAAAATAGCGGAAAGAAGGGAACTAAACCGCCCTAAGAAGTCTGTTTCGGCGCAGATTCCACAGCAAAACGCTTGGAAATAAAAACCAAAGATGCCTCGATAACAACATCCAAACCATGAACAGCAACACCCTAGCCAGCAAGCGATAACGATATCGACCAATGTCCGTTGGAAGAAGAAACTGAAGAGGCTGAATATTTAGGACAACTACCTGTGGTGGATGGGGATGCATATTGAGAACAGATACGAGCCCATGCCTACCATAAACAGTAGTAATGAACATTCGGTGACCGAAGATCAGAAGGCCAGAGTGTTTGGTGAATATTTTCATAATGTTCACAAAACCAATCTAGATTTAACAGAAGAACACAGAAGCGCACCCCCTAACTGAAACGCCTAGGGGGGTGCACTCTATGCCCCCATCACGCCTGAGCGATGACACACTGGGAAAAATATTAACAGACTTTGAAGAAGTGAAGTCGACAGTGACATATCTGCCCTTGAACAAGGCGCCGGGTAGCAATGGCGTTGAGGCAGTTCTACTTCGGTCATTGACAAAATTCTATTGAGCAGACTTCTTCGTTTGGAGAAGAGGCTAAAACTTGTCCCGAAAGAACAGTTCGGCTTCAGGTGAGGTTGCAACACGACCTCGCAACTGGTCCGTCTAGTGCACGGGATAAAGAAGGCCTTTCACCAGAAGAAGAATACAGTCATGATCCTCCTAGACATACACAAGGCGATTGACAGTGCATGGACAAAAGGATTTATTGCGTAACTGTGGATGGCACACATGCCCTTATACATGATAAGAATCTGAGATTCTTATTTGGTTAACAGAAAATTCAGAGTAAGAATACACCAGGCTATCTCTACAGATTTTTCGAAGAAAGCAGGTGTTCCGCATGAATCCTGTCTATTCCCACACGTACACTCCCTCTATACGCCTCCTTTCAGTGGGGCCGTGAAGGCCCGTCCATAACAAAGGGCCCCTCACACTCCACCCTTCAGGTGATGTACAATGAAATTTGATGTGATATTCAAAAATTTTTATGAAAGATGTTTGTATTTGGTTCCTACGAATATAGACATCTAATAGATGTCCATTATTTGGCAAGACAAACATGGAAACATGGGATATCCATTTCAATCATGAATATCTTTTTATGGACTTGAAAAGACTTCGGAAGGATATGCATGGAAATATTCATGGAATTTTTTCAAAAGTCAATTTGAAAAATGAGTAAAGTGGTAATATCGTTTTTGAGTTTATAATTAAATTCAGTCTTCGGGGTCTAAAAAATGGATATTCATCGAATGTTCAAATTGTAGGCCTATTAATATCCATATGGCCCATTTGGATATCCATTAAACTTCCCCTGTTCATCGAAGGACGTCCACTAATATCCGTGAAGTTCATTTCAGATATTCACTGGATGTCCATGTCTTCATTGGGAAGCTAATTATTCTGGATTTGAAAATGAAGTAGTACTTTCTGTAACGTTAGTCTTTTTTAAAAATCATTAATTTTATCTGAAGGCAAAATCTGAAAATACCGCAAGTTACTGAGCAATTGGACTCTTCGGTGGTTTATATCGTGCCGTTCACTTTTTCGAATACCTAGAAAAACAACATTGAATACTGGCTTCTCCATCAAAAACGTTTTTCAAAGAAAATTATGAAATACCCTTTACATATTTCATTCTATCTATGTACAAATCAACAAAACGTCAAATCAAATTGATGGTGTTATCAAGTTAATGACATGAAACCCAAGTTAATTCGTCAAAATTCATAACTTTTCCCAAATAGCTATCTATTTACAAGCTTCTTCAAATGAATCAAAATAACAATAAATTCCCAAGTCACACAAACTTACCCCTAAGCTCTGGAGACCAGAAACATCATAGAAACTATTACTCCTAGAAATCTCCTCTTCGCCACTATCTCTCCTTTCTGTCCTGTATTTGAAAGCATCCAGAGTCAAATGAGACTTTGATCTGAGAACTGGCTTAGATGGTGACCAGTTTTCTTTTTCCGATCTGAATACGCTGGAAAACGGGCCGTGATTTATACCTACAGTTTTCCCATTTTTGAAAAAAGTGTACTCCCTATCTTCATTCGAGTAACTTGAGTGTTCATCAATACTGTTTCTCCTGACAGATATATTCTCCATGGAATGTCCAACGTAGGACCTGTTCAAATTCGTATTTTTCTTCTGACGTCTATCAATTTCGTCTGTATTACTTCTGACAGTATCGTCCTCGAACACTTTTATCTTCTGCTTAGGTTGGTCGTAGGTAGAAATCTTGAAATTAGGCAGGGTATGCGTTTGTGCAGTAGTGGTGGTCGTCTGAATAAATTTTGATTCAGCAACCGGTTTTCGTTGACTAGAATTCTGAATCTCCTTATATGTACTCTCGAATTTCGTTAGGGAACTGGAAAACGTCTCGGAGCTGTCGCGTTTCTCTTCAATATCGCTCATCTTCAGGCTAGTAGCTAACTCCCTATTATATACCAAAGATTTCCTCCTCTTCAAGTTCTCCAATGACAATGTGTTCATCAGAGGGGTCCTATCTTCTTCGCTAATCACACTAGTGAGGTCACTAGTTATCGTGCTCTTATCAGACTGGACGTCTTCGATGTTCTTCAGCTTTTCAAACAGTTCGGGAGAAGTCACGACAGAATCCTTGAAGTCTGTAACCGAGTGAGATTCAGAGATGGCTCCATCTGCAAAATTTACTGGACTGGAGTCTCTGAAAGCTCTTGGAGGGGACGGAAGTTGATACTGCCAATCAATGTCAGCAACTTCCTTATCTTTATCGTTCTCTTCGTTTCTTGGGGCAGTTTCTATCAGTCTTTCTGCTTCTTCAGAGTGTTTTGCCCCTGATGCTGTATAGCTTTGTCGAACAGGTTTTTTTACCAATATATCTTCTACTTCCTTAACGACTTCTGGTACTATCGGAGGTGGTACTTGTTCTTCTATTATATCTGAAGGAGGAACTACGGGATCATCAAGAAACGCAGGTGGTGGAGGTGGTGTTATTGGTCTGGGGTCATCAGGGTCCTTTTCAAGGATTTCGGGTGCTATACCACTATCTGTTGAGCCGAAAGGTTTGTTTTCATTTTCGTTGCCGTCTTGTATAATGTTGCTTGTGGAAGACGTTATAGATGGCAGGCTATCTAACGCCTGATGAGAAGTGAGAGATTCTGAAAATAAATAGGAATTTAGTGTTTGGTTTGCTCGTGAAGGTGGCCTACTTGGTTCACTCTATAAAAAATATTCCAGTTGATCTTTCGTTTGACAAAGCACACAATTTAAGCAGAGTAGGTATTGAAAAAAGTTATCATGCAAGTAGTAGAGATTTTGGAGTTTCAAGAAACCTACTAAGGGACCATCTAATCACATTCGAAGACGAGATCCATCTCATATGATCATTCCTGGAAACAAAAATCTACTATTTCCTAAGAAACATCCCGACGGATATTCAGTCACATATGAAAGACTTTTGTGAAAACTCTCATTCAGATATTATCGTTGTATATGTTGCTCGTCGAACAAAATGATAGTGAGCGATTTTCCAAAGGCAGAAAAAATCATACCAATCCAGGGTGGCACTATATTTTCAATATAACCCTAATTTTCATCGCTTACTAGCTGTTCTCTAACGAGGAACCCTCAGACGTTTAAATAAGACTTATGGGTGTACGCAATGAGATGTAAATTATGTATATTGTTTAATTTTGCATGGAAAAGGTGAATATTTTTTTTAGACACAGTTTTTAGTATTTTTGTATTTCTTAAGAACGGACTGTTCTATACACCAAAAAATCGGAGGAAGTATTTCCAATAGAGGGATTAGTATATAAAAAATGAAAAGGGTTTGAAAATGATTGAGCATTCGGAAAAAAAATTAAGGTAGAATTCTGATTTTGTCCTGATAAACCTCAAGCAACAGATGAAAAAATTGTATGCTTTGAGTATTTTGTAATCACCCTCTACATAATGTTGATTGATTTCAGATCTTGGTGATGTTTCATTACTCTTTCCTTCTCGATATTTTTTGTTTTTCTTGAGTATAATTATCGATAAATAAAACAAAACAACTTCAGTTCTTTAGAAACATACAACGAATTGTTAAAAGCAGGAAAATGTCTCCTAATGTATTCAAAAATTCGATTTTCACAAAATTTCTCGGTTCTCTCAAGACAGCATCTGATTAAGTTTCGCAAAAATCGAGATCTTTCACGATCCATTCGAATATGATACCATATCTATAAATGGTTATAAACGTCTTAACATACAAGAATGTGGCAGAGATAACACCAATTCAGTGTACAAAAAATATATTAGATGAATGGGGATACAAGTATACCCAAATCTGCATGTTGGAAATTTAGGATAATAAAACATGATCGAGAATAATCAACTTCACAATACAAAAATTACCGTTGGGAGTTAACGAAGAGTAATTTCATCATTTGATGTTTCAATACATCCAAGCAGAAAAAAATTCCATCAGAAAAAGCTACTTTCAAAAATGAACATTGAATTACACGGCATTTACTTTTCTCGTTCGGTATGTTTACCAAATCGTAATGAGCAATAGTAGATTGTGTATAATGCCAATAAACCTAGAAAATAGCAATTCTAGAAAATGTTCAGTGATAAAAGTATTCTCACAACAACTCTGCAATGAATCAGGCAAAAATCTCTCACAAAGATTTCACAATTCAGAACTTTCTGTGGGCAGTTATTTTTGCTAGTTTTGAAAGCTATTTCATCTTTACACTTCCAGTGCAGAGTCCTTTACCTGCCCTCCAGAATGAATAAGAATATATCATCCACTTCCCTGTTACAGTACCTGCTACTGTAGAGGATGGAGTTCGATTAGGTCCAAAGTCAGTGGGTCTAATCAACCATCCACTGCAAACCGCCAGAATTTATTGTGGTTCAGAGTGATTCAAACTCGAACTAGTGAAGCTCCAGCTCCTGAACGAAGGCCATTACTTTGATTAATGGCGTTTCAAGTCAGAGAGCAACATGGGAATCACATTGCACATTTCATCAGGAGTTCTAAAAAAGTAAAACACCATTACAGTATCTGAAGAGTTATCAAACGACAAAGCTCAATTGAAATATCAAAAGACCTAATCAACTTCCAAAATGAATCTGTGCAAATATTGAAGTGTTCAAAAATGCTTTATTGTTTAGGAACCTTTCAAAGAATATCCTGAAAATTCAAAATCTCTACTATAGAACAGAAAAACTGACTACAACAAGTGAACATGCCTGATTCAGAGAATTCACCAGCCACCCATCTACCACTGTTACGTCCTAAAGAACTCAAAGAAGCCTCATCTAAATCCTCGGTGTTCTTCCACTTTTTCATGCCGCTTTCATTGGCGAAACCATACAAACTCCGTAGACTTCTCAAGCTGCTTATCGATTGGTTCTTTCCCAACTTGACGTCCTCATAGTTGTGCATACCAAACAATTGATTGTAAACTTCTTCTTTCAAGGAAAACTTTTTTTTGGAAGAAACCGATCCTGAAAAAACATTCTCATCCAGATCGGAAAAGTCGTCGATGAAGTTGAAGTTTTCCAGCGCTGAGGCAATGGAGGTACTAGTAGAGGAAACACTTCCGCTTTTAGATTTTGATTCGTTCACGGAGTTTATGAGTGAAGACAATGTTTGGAAGCGTCTTTTACCAAAAGTATCAAACTTGTTTGATTCTTTGGGAGTTTTGGGTATCACCGCGACTATTTCTGGGGGTTTTTTATTATCATCAGTGGACTCCAGGAAGAGACTTGACTTCTGGTCACCAGGAGTACCATCATCAGGACAATTAATTTCTTGTGTGGCAGATGAATCTTCATCTTTAGCATTGTTTTGGAATAGTTCTTCTTTCGGAGGTGGTTCAAGATCAACAGTTGGAAGTTTTTCTCTTTCTCCTTCTTCACAGGTTGGTGCATGTGGCTTCAAAGCTTTTTCTTCGTTTTGCTCTGTATGATTTTCTTCAGACATTCTTGGTTTCTCCTCCTCAACAGACAAGACTAATTTGCCTATATCTGCTGGTGCTCCACCGATTGTATTGTTATTGGAATCGCTTTCATTTGTTTCAAAACTGATCACTTCTTTTATTACATCGTCGACAATACTATCGTTATCAATTTTGCTAATTTGTACCTTAGCACTCAGTCTCTTGACGGGTGTACTTTCTTCGATGCTTTCAATACATTCAATGGTTTCTGGAATGTTTATCCTGGAATATGGTACTGGCGGAGCTTTAGGCTTGCTTCTGGATAGGGGAAGTGGATTATTAGGTGTGCTAAAAGGTTCCTGCGATGTACAAGGTGCTAGCATGCAAAATACAAAGCAGTATTAGTAAAGAAAAGTTAGTTCACCTTTCCTTGGAGTGAAGAACCTCAACCAAGATAGGTAGGAGGTATGTACATGGGACGTGCAATTTCCGTGCCTTGTGTTATATTTGAAGATCCATAAGTGATGAATTATTGATAATGAGTACAATTTTCATCAGAGCGCGACTGAAACTGATCTAATGGGTACCATATTTCAGGCGATTGGGTCTCAGATTGTCTGGCTGTTGATTACACATAAGAGGCAGTTCAATTGGGGGGTTACATAATTTCTCGGACATATATTACGATTGAATTGAGAAGTAAAATCCAATATCGACTAAAGAGCTGCTTGAAAGGAATATAATTATTCAAGAAGGTACCTTTCGATGAAACTGCATGCCTCGTCATTCACGGGAATCACAGAAAAGTTTAATTCTGAGAAGTCAAAATTAATATGAAATGAAAAATCAACGATGAAGTTGATGATATTTCATGTGGGTTAGTGTTGTAGATGACCATGTATGCGATATGTATCTGATGAAGAAAATCTAACTGTAACTGATGCCATTCGATGAATTGTTATATTTGTGAAAAATATATATGATATAATTATAGGAAAATTGAAAGTTGGGGCCAGCATTTTCGGTTGGAACAGGCAAGGGGAGAAAAAAGTGAAGAAGAACTTTGAAAAAAAAATTGCTCATGACCTAAAGTATAGCAACTACCTGGATTATTTATTCAGGAAGTAATAATACCAAGAGGGTGGGAGAATGAATATGGGGCCTTGGATAATAAAAAGAGTAATTGTCCTACCAAAATTGGGTTCTGAAGAAAAGGCACACATCCAGTAAAACGGGGTATTGTTAGTCAAGTAAATACGCAACTTTGCCCCAATTCAACCATCTCCGTATCTCTCATAGTTTCCAAGATCCCAATGATGAGGATCGAATTTGAAACAACCTGTATGATGAATTGATTTCAGCAAAATTGTTCTGTCGATTTGAAAATTTCGGTTTCTCTCTAGTCGAGTTTAGAAATATACGAAAGCAGATTCTAACTTTCAAAATGTTGATGATGATATCTATAAATTCCTCACTTGTTTTATAGGCACAATTATCAAATATTAGTATTGGTGAAAAATGTATTTCTTTGTGAAAAATATAGGGAAATCACGCATTATTCTATCGGCGTGAACTGAACTAAACTAAACTAGAATCGACTAAAAGAAGAACCATCAAGACTCTATAAGACCGTGCTCTGTAATACGAAGAAAGGTCTCGAGAAGGGCTTAGACATCATCAGAAAAGATCTTCAACGGAATGGCTACTCCAAAGCGATGGTGGAACATACTTTGCCAAAAAGACAGCAAAAGCTTTGCAAGGAAGAGAAGCCGTCACAACCAGTGCTTGCACTTCCCTACATCATATAATTATCGGAAAGAATAAGAAGAATTGGGTCCAAGTACAACATCAGAACCTACTTCAGATCCGGAAACACTATCAGTAGCAGACTCACGAAAACCAGGCCATCAAACGCGGACTACAATTCCAAGAATTGCATTTACCGGATACCCTGTGAGTCCGAAAATGAATTATCTGTATGAATCGCATATCTTTATGAAGAGTTTTTTTAGGTATGTCATACCTTTCTTCTTTAACAGTTTCACAAATTTTTTTGTTCAATGATGGAGAAGTAGGAAACCGGAAAGCTTTCTTTTCTCAAGCACTCTGAATTACTGAACGAATCAACGAATTCATTAAAAATGTTTATTACAAAACCTTGTGATATGAACAAATGTATTTTTATCTAATAAATTCTGAATATGAGACGTTTTCAATTATATGCTGTGGTTGGTACGTTTATTGTATTCTGAGTGAGTATTTTTTATTTTGTGATCGGAACTGAAACACTCATAGCACTAACCTTAAAAGGTATGCATCTTCGTCAAACCACAATTAATTTACTGTTATTTTTCTGAATATTTTTTTGAAGAGATTACTGGTATATTCTATACATGATCTATATGTTGCCTAGTATTCCACTCTATACTGAGTAAATCTTCCTCATCAATGACCATGTTCCATTGACCTCTTAATCAACTTCTGTTTGTAATTGAAAACAATCTTCTTCACTCTCACACACTTTTTTTAATCTCTTTTCGGTTAGTTTGATTCCATCAACAATTTAGAATTCAGTGATCTTCTTTTCTTTCAATAATTTTCAAAGTATACTGGAGTCTCTGAAAGCTCTTGGAGGGGACGGAAGTTGATACTGCCAATCAATNTTGATCATAACTCATTTGACGAATGTATGGTGCTCGTTATCTTGACATTTTCTCTACGAATTTTTCATTAATGAACATAAAACATACATGGACAATATATATACGAAAAGTATTTGTATCAATGAAGGAGACCATCTTTTGAAGATGCTTTTCCAAATTTCATGCCACAATTAGTTTCTTCTCAGACTGATAAAAACTACAGGAATAGTATGATTGATGGTATGGTTATGGCGAAAGGTTTAGTAATGACATTGATACTTTTCATATATTAGAGAAACTGAAAGAACTACCCACTGAACACCCAATGATTTTATTTCAACATTCCAGTATATCAATCAATGATCAAGTACTCACAGATCTCAGAAACTATTATGCCAGAACAAACAACAGCTGCACTCTATATCGCCGACAACAACCTACTAAAAGTGCTAAAAGCACTCTCTTGATTATCTCCAACCACTCCTGAAACTCCCACGCCCAATCGTGTCACAATTATCCATCGAAATTTCGGCAATTACAAAAGCTATCCAAATATCTATTACTAACGAACTAACAACATTTGAACTCTCAACTATAAAAACGACGTCGAAGTATCACTCTTTACCGACACTGAAAAATCTTAGTCGGTTGAAACTGAACCAGATTTTGTACCGTGAACCTGTTAGAACCCACATGGATCTACCCACAGAAGCATTCTTGTCAAGTATAACGTAAATACGACCACGTATGTTCCCATATAATATCGATTTGTGCGATTTGTGTATAGATGAGGCGATCGAATGAGTTCGATTCAAGTGAAAAGATGCTGGGAACAACTACAGTGATATTGCTATATAAGGTGTCGACTTTTTTTTTGTGGGGGACTTTATACAGTGTGCCAAAGCCAAATGGAAAATATTCATTATTTTGGTTACTGTACATATTAAAAAAATTCGAAAACATGTCAAATGTGAATTATAATTTGACGTTCTTCAACGTGAAAATGCCACCCCTACCCTCAACCCCCTTCGAATTACAGGTACAACCCCCAATTTTTTAAATGGGAAGTATAGGTTTGTGATGTATCGTTTGAAAGGTCTCTTCATTCTCTATTCAGAAGTTTTATTGCTTCCAAGTTTGTTGCAACAATCAAGATGAAATAAATTTAGATCGTGTTGAATGTAAAATACGAAAAAGAACTATGGATGTTAACGAAGTAGATGTTCAAAATATTCACCGCGAATGTTTCGGCAACATCCTAATTGCAAATAAAACTGTCTTCCAACATTATTCAACAGGTCAGGCATGACCGACCTAATCGCAAGCATTATTCGTTATTTGAAGTCATTCAAATCTGAAGGTTTAGTTTTGTAAACATTGCTCTTCACATATCCCTATAAAAAGAAAACTAATGATGAAAGATCAGATGATCGCGCGGGCCATTCAATCGATCCTTGATCCACCGATTGAGAAATGTTGTATCGAGATATTGCCTGACATTAACATGGTAATGTGGTGGTGCTCCATCCTGCTGAAACCATATCGTATTCACTGGAACTTGAGGGTTTTCTGGATCAGGATATAAATTTGCTAAACTTGGAATGACAAATAATTATCGCCATTCAATTTGCCCTCAATGAAAAAGGAACCAATGATATGGTTTCCTCCAATTGCTGCCCAAACAATAACCTTTTGAGGGTATTGCGTGAGTTCTTCTCTCATCCAGTGAGGATTTTCCGTTGACCAGTAGCGGCAATTTTGCCGATTAGCATGACCTTTAAGAGACACAGTACACTCATCAGAAAACATCGTCTTCTAATGGAATGGTATTTTTATCCAACGTGTCCATTATTTGCTGACAAAAATAAGTTCTTCTATCGAAATCGTCTTCCATGAGCTCCTGAGTAGGTATCCGTTTATAGGAATTCACTTTATTTTCATTAAATATGTTTACTTATGATGTATGGCTAATATTGATCGTCATTGGAAAACAGGTCATTGGAAATGTAACAAATATTACCAATTCACTGGAATTTGAGGGTTTTCTGGATCAGGATATAAATTTGCTAAACTTGGAATGACAAATAATTATCGCCATTCAATTTGCCCTCAATGAAAAAGGAACTAATGATATGGTTTCCTCCAATTGCTGCCCAAACAATAACCTTTTGAGGGTATTGCGTGAGTTCTTATCTCATCCAGTGAGGATTTTCCGTTGACCAGTAGCGGCAATTTTGCCGATTAGCATGACCTTTAAGAGACACAGTACACTCATCAGAAAACATATCGTCTTCTAATTGAATGGTATTTTTATCCAACGTGTCCATTATTTACTGACAAAAATAAGTTCTTCTATCGAAATCGTCTTCCATGAGCTCCTGAGTAGGTATCCGTTTATAGGAATGCACTTTATTTTCATTAAATATGTTTACTTATGATGTATGGCTAATATTGATCGTCATTGGAAAACAGGTCATTGGAAATGTAACAAATATTACCAATTGGAATAATTTTTTCATCAACTCAAAATGAAATGAAAGAAAGGGTTGGAAGGAAATGTCATATAAAAAAAATTTCACCAATTTATCCAGGAAAGGCATCCTGAATTGCTTCAACTATTTCTGAGTCTGACGATGAACAATAATGAAACTTTCCATTCAGCATCATCTAAAAACATATTTCAGAAAAAAAATAGTTTCACTTCCTCAAGTGAAACTTCTCGTATTTATGTATATATTGGATATATCTATTCGGTCGGTAGCCGGTCGCACACGTTTAAACTTCTGAGGGTTGTCGTTCGTAGAAGTGTGACACCAGGTTAACGAAAAAACAGTTGCCAAACAGATTTTTTCAAATAGATAGATTCCGAAACGGAACCGGAAGAATGGTAATGACCCAAAAAGAGGAGAAGGCGACAATAGTTATGTTCCAAGGGTTATCAGAAGTAATAAGCACCTTTCGAACTCAAGAGCCTAGCCCAATAGTATAGTTCTTATTGAACATACGTTTGATTTCAGAAAAATATTCATTGAAGTATGTGAAGAATTTGCAAGAACTCCAAAAAGCAATTCAAAATTACGGTCGGTAGCCTGTCGTTTCGACGTGGGTGCTGGTGGGTGTTGGTCGGTGGTTCAAGCCCCCGTCTGAACGATCGATTTTCACTTACTATCGTCCAACCCGTGTTAGAAATCACACGTTGAAAGGTAAGACTTCGTTAATCCTTAGTTCACACAAGTTTTGACTTCGTTCGTAGGAGTGCGACAGCTGGTTAACGGAAAAACGAATTTTGAACAGATTTTTTTTCAAATCGAGAGAAGTCACACTGAAATAATCTAAGATTATGAAATGTGCCGCAAGCCCTTGCAAAATATTTGGAGGTTATATGGAACCTTTCGAACAAGTATTATTTCTGTAATGCTCAGTAAAAGATGGATTTCAGCTGCTAGTTTTCCAACCAAATAGTACAAAAGAAGTAAAGGAATAATTCACATCCAACAGGTTGCCCAATAAAACCCGATTTATATGCATTATAATCCGGGAGGTAGTGTCACTTTTTTATAAGTCATTTTATGCGCAATGCAATTCAATCGATAAAGTAGTTTTTATGTTACGAAATACCAAACCGAGCGTCAGATCGCGCGACCTTAGTGGGTAGAGTCGAAGGAAGCTGCGGAAGATAATCAGTAATTAAAAAAAAGTGATTTTATGGACTCTATAATTTTCACAGTTTATTATTCTCAATGTATATTCAACTAAAATAGTCGTCAGACCCTGATCTGCGGGTGGATTGTTGCAAGCTTGGTTCATTTCCTATAAATTGTTCCTCCATTCATTCTGATATCACGATTTGTTTCAAATCTATGAATTAATAGAAGCATTGTATTTTCTTTACGTATTCTTGATCTGCAACGATCAAGCATGCTCCTTAGATGCAAATCCTGTTCAGCATGTTATGAACTAACTTAGATAGCCGCTTGAGAATGGAATGCCCCGGAAAATGGAAGCTATTGTCAAAGCTGGAGGAAACAACACCCGAATAGCGCAAAATTATTTTCTTGTTTTCTTTCCCAGCAATTTTTCCATAATTGTGGAGAATGAAGATCACGCAGAGGAAAAGAAATACTTTTCTCAATAATTTATAAATTTGAAACAAATCGTGATGAATGGAGAAACAATTTACAGAAAATTACCAAGCTTGCATACAGGATAATTTCAAGTGACATACAAAAGCTGTATTTTACCACAGAGTGTCTTGAATCTAGATGATAGAAACATAACTATGTTTCCCTCTCATGATGTGCATAAGTCGGGCCTTATCAGGTATTTGATGTCCATCAAAATGGGATGAATATCTTTCCATATTTTAAAAACTTCTCAAAATTGGGCTAGAAATAAAAAAGCTAGCCAAGATTGAAATATACAAACATATTAGGGTGGCCGTTTTCATGCACCTGATTGTCCAGTATTCATTTGAATACACACAGATACACACGTACCTGCAACACCCAAGCTAGTGGTTGACTTAGAATGCGACGACATCTTGGACAAATTGGTTGTACTATGACTGTGTAACTTGGACATCCTCTCCATATCCCCACCGCCGACAAAAGCGGATTTTGGTCTTCTTGGTAGTGACGTATTGCAATGCTCGCTCAGCACGGAAGCCTCGTGGTATCCGGAACTATCCGAACTGTTCCTTGAGTGACAGATGACAAGTCCGTTATCGAGCCTTCTCGACTGCAGTTCGCTCACTTCGGAAACCGTACTCGGTGGTTTCTCTTCGGAATTTCTTCGGCTCTCCTCGGAGTTCCTTCGGCTGTTTTCGGCCTGTTGCGGAGGTTTTGGAGCCGGCCGCCGCTTTCTTTGCGGCGGTTTGGGACGATCCGGTGGAGGATCCTTCTTTGGGGGGGTAAGAATCTTCTGCTGGACGCCAGGGGGCGTTACTGACCTTGAATCGTCGCTGTGGGTTGGTGAGATGGAGCGGGTGTCGCTGGATATCGAGCCTGATCCCATGCTCTGGAATATAAAATGAGGATTGTAATAATAATAAGCCATTCAGAAAGTGAAAGCAACTAGAGGCTGACTTTTGACCAAAGGAGATCGGATGTCAGTCTTGCTGAAGTGTCCGTCAATAAGTTGAGGACCACTCCGGAGGAGCGAGGGTGGATGGACGAGATGAGATGTTCTGCACGCAGTGACCGTGTGAAGAAGATTTCAACTCAGAACACTCACCCCGAAAAGGGCATTGGGGAGGAGGGGGAAGGGAATAAGCCACTACATAGAAGCTGAAGAACATGAGAAGTCTTTGAACATATGTGAATGATATAACCAAACGTTAACGAATCGAAGGAGGGAGAGTTTTATTTTATACCTGAAACTTCTTCAAATTTATCACTGAATAACAGTTATGGAACTACAATCTAGTATGCACAGAAAAGTAGTTTTGATACATATAAAATATTGTTTGGTAACTATTTTCCAAGCCTCTTCACAGTACCTTACTACACCAAATCCGATTTTCACAAATATCATTTTGGTAGTGGATAACTTACTGGGAGGTAGTTCTTTCACTCAAATTTAATTAAACATATGAGCTATGTAAATGAGAAAAGTTCTACATACTCAAATCATCTTTTAAAAGAAAAACATATTTTAAACGGAGATTTCAAAATTTTATACATAGGAAACAAAAGTCCAAAGCTGAATCATTTGTTAGCAATGTAAATGAATAAACTTGAAAAATCATACATTTCACTGAATGACCAACTGGATTTGAATAGATCCCCATTACTGAATTTGTTTTCTTAGAAATCCATGTTATCCTAGTCTCAGTAGACATATTAATACAGATGTAGAATTGATATAATATGATCTAGGTTCTAGGTAATCATAATTGAAGATATATCCGAAATATTTTCTGTAGAGTAGAGAGGGTGAATGTAGGCCCACAGCACTTAGGCCACATGTGACCCATTGTACATCCTCCCAAAGAGTTGTTCTCCTAGGTCATGGTCGATCCTGTCCTTTGCAGTAAGATGGGCAGGTCTCTGGAAGATATCTCCTTCATATTGGCAGGTGTAGGCCGAGACTCGCCGAACCCACACTCTCTAATTGACGATAACTCCGGACATTCGCATAGGCATGCCTGACAGTTTCATCTTCCTGTTCACACATCCTCCTTAGAGGTTTGTCCACTAGCCCCATATTATGGAGGTGTTTCCTCAGTTGACAGTGGCCACTCAGAAATCCTACTATCAAGCGTAGATTTTTCCTGGTCATAGCCAGATATTTCTTCGGCGCCAGCTTCCCAGGGTCGCCCAGGGTGATCCTGGCAAGACTGCATCCTTTGATTCCATCCCATCTCTTTACGGATTGAGTATGGGTGTGACATTTGGCTAGTTCCGCAATTGTCGAAGTCATCAGGTGCCACTGGGTCCTAAAATTCTTAGTCCAGCCGCTTCCTTGGCTAAAGAGTCGGCAATGCGATTACCTTCACTCCTGTTGTGACCTTTAATCCACCTTAGGATGATGTTATTATCTACCGAGGCTTTGGCTAAACTTGGTGGCACTCTACTACTAGCCCTGAGGTAACACGTTGTATGTTCAAGGCTAATAGAGCTTTTCTGATATCAGTGCAGATTGTTATGTTTTCGCCAGAAATTTTTTTCCTGGATATTTCTTTTCATGCGATTTTTTAGACCACGCTGGTATTTTCTCCATTCCCCACTTAATTCTTAGGCTTAGTGATGTGGAGTACTTCACATCCTGAGCCTTCTTCGGTTTTTGGGCTGTCCGTATATATGCGTATTGCATTTGCAGCATCTGACTCTGTGTTCTGTTTTGTAGGGTTTATTAAACACAAACCTAGGTTCAATTGCATCCCTGGTTGCCTGCAGCAGAGGTTGCGCAGTAAGCGCTTCTCGCCATTGACACATTCCTACTTCAAGGTTTACACCAGCCGTGCGCAATCGTAATATGGCCATTAACGCAACCTCCTTAAGGTCCAGAGGTGTCAGACCAGTAATTGATTTCATTGCTGCGGTTGGTGTTGTTCTCATGGCTCCTGCGATGTTCAAACAAGCCAGTCGCTGTATTTGATATAATTTTTTCATGGCAGTTGCTAGTAAAACTTTTGGTCCCCATGTAGTGGCTCCGTACGTTAACATATGTCTTACTATTGCAGTGTAGATCCAGGTGACCATATGGGGTGAAAGACCTCATGCGCATTCCATTTTCCTTCGACATTGCTCATAAGCCACATATGCTTCTTTTGCTGTACTCTGAGAGTTACATGTTATCTTCGTGTAGAAGATAGTACCAAGTTATTTCACCTCTTCAGGGAAGTTTAATCCGAGGTATATAAAAACAGATGCTGTAGGTATTTATGATCGAGTATGTAGTAGGTACTTCTCACTGGTGACTACGTGAGGTATATAAAAATTAGAGTAATAGAATTAGGGTTCAGTATGTTATTCACTTCAAAAAAGCTATTCTGATTGCGAAAACTGTCGTGATATTTTTGAAAGTGAAGTCTGTGAAGATTAAAGTTTTAAGTGTAGTTTGTGAAACCACTATGGTGTTCATCAACTAACGGCCGAGTTAATCAGAAAATTCCTAAATATATTGTTAATAACACATAGAACTACCTTCAGGTAGCGTAAAGAGGCCATTCAGAAAATCGAGTTATCATTATTCGCAACCGTTCAACTGTATTTCCGGAAAAACCACGATAGATTGTACATCCAGGACACAGTTGGTGGTTGGTTTAACAAATTTCAAATGTGTTGTGACAGTGTATTTGTGACAGGTACAAATGTTTTTGTTTATTCTACAGATCTGAATATACACTAAGTATTTTACAGAAACTACAATTTTTCAAGATTTACATAAAAAATCACAACGTCATTTGGTTGATCAAATAGGGTCTAAAATATAATATAAAGTGACAACTTATGAATATGACTTTATGTAACTTTCAATATAATGTATTTCAACTAAATGGATCTTATTGATTTAGCGAAAAAATATGAAAATGAATGTAGAAACTAGTTTTTGTGTGAATATTACTATGAGAAATGTGGAAATATGTCCAGTAGTATCCAAGACATTTTCCAAAAAATAAGTATTCAGTTGAAGAAGATTGAAAATACATTGATTTTTTGAAGGCAGTATACATAGATATTCTTTTGAATTACACCGTCAATAGACACGCTGCTTCCATCAATGAAACCGACTTGGCTCTTTCCATAAGACGAAAATATTACAATAGTTTCTGTTGGGAGTTTAAAAGCTATGCTAGAGGGGTTAGTNGATTTTCCTCTGCGAAAAATCAAGTTGAAAACACCACCCCCGGTCTTGTTGTGCATTTGTTTTCTCTCCTCCTCTTTTCTCAGCGCCATGATATCGCTTGTGGAAAACGCTTGATTGAGACTAACCGTTCCTTTCGAAACTACGTAGATTTCTGTTATCTGATAATCACTCAGAGTTGACTTAGGATCCAGCGCCTCATCTAGGTTACCTGTAATTGAAAAATGTTTTTTATGTGTGAGCGAAAGAAAGTGTTTGGAGATGCCACTGAAGTGAAACGCAAGAAAAGTAAAATGCCTTGAAATGTTTTTATTAAATTCTTAATGCAATATAGTCAATGGAAGGAAGTACTGAATAGAAGCAATTCACTTATTTATATCTTAATTATTCCACGAGACTAGAAATAGTGGCAAAGTTCTAATATTTATATTGAAAAAATCTACAGTCGATTGTCATTGAACAGTAGTCATAAAAGGCAAAGTCACATTTCACACACATAGTCACACACACATTTTTTTTTTCAGTACTCGTATTGGCTCTGAATTCGTGATTTAGATGGTGTACTGCATATTTTTGAATAACAATTAGATGAAACTGACAACGTTATTAGTGTATCTCTCAAAATAGACTGATTTGACAGTTTATATTCATTGAGGTCTTGATATCTGTAAAATTAACTCTTGGCGACGATAACTTTATTAGATACTGATTATTAATCAAGTTCAAAAACTGAAATTTGAATTAAAATAAAATTCACGTAACGAATCATTATTTACATAGTTTCTCTTGAGTTTTGAACAATGTGAAATATCGTGTAGAAATTCTACTGTAAATTTGGTGAATCGTAAATTTCAAGTTTTGTAATCATGCAGATATAATCATAATTGATATTTATATACGCTGTCAGTTCAAAAAATAAGATGAATTTTGATTTTTCTCATAAATATTCATGTATTCATCAATTTCTATTTTGTCCCCTTCAGAGAAGTCCCCCTCAGACTTGTACCAGCATTTTTTCCAATCCTCGGAGCAGTTCTAGTATGCACTTTTTGGTGTCACTGACCAGTGACAAGTTAACCTTATTTTTTGAACAGTCACGTATATCCTATTATCAAATGAAATACAGGTATGACAACTGAATCAAAGATGGGATAAATGCTCCAATATAAAGGATATTTCTTCATCATTTTTTAATTCTAACAGTGAAAGTAACTAGGTTCAATTCAATGCCACAAAAACCCAGGCATCAGTTTTCTCCGAACCGGATAATAATATCAGGTCAGACAATTCAGCGTTCTGCTTCAATAGGTTTGTTGGGGGTTGAAATGGACACCAACAAGTTCAAAAACATGAAAAATAGAGATAAAGGTCCTAAAAATATGAGCGATTTTTTATAACTATTGCAAAATGAAATATCTAAAAATTGTTGATTAATTTTTTTTTCAATTGATATTTAGCTGTCTGTTTTCACATTCAACAATGGCAGTTATTAACATAGCATATGCATTTTTTACGTAATTTGTTTATTAGATTGTTTTAAACAAATAAATAGAGAAATTCAATATTTTTGAAAAATATTTTTTTGTTATTTTGTTGTCTAGAGATAATTATGAATTATGTTTTTTGATTTCAATTTTTAATTGTTTATATATATAAAAAAAGTGCCATAAAAAATACGAAAAGCGAAGTTTTATATCGAGGAAAAATTAGACGAGCCTTATATCTGATTTACGTGTTCACGGCATCGTGAAAACAAATTTCTAACAACCGATGTTACTGAATGTTACATCAATGCTTGTGTGTACCAACTTCCATCGAAAGTTATCGAAACGGTTTGGTAATGCTGATCCTATTGGAAAAAAAATTGATTCACTCCTATTGACTGTAGGTATAAACAAACAAAATATTATTTGTTTGAAGTGGCAGAAAGTGAAATTTCTTTCGAAATAGTGGCTAATCGAACAAGATAGTTGGTATGAAGATGAGACCTCTACCCGCTTGCTCAAAAATTGATTGTTAATGAATTTAAATAAAGCAAAAAGATCATTCAAATATATTTTCACTCAGCAGCACCAGTTGCATATATGCAGATAAGTTTTAGAACTATAAAATGTTATTCGTTAATCAAAATAGAAATTTTCGGTTTCATTCGAGAAAAAGTATATATTTTCAGAATATATGACACGAACACCAGAAAGTATTCTTACCATTACAAAATGTAGTGCGATTTTTATAACAATGAATGTCTCAAGCTCGTGTCTCTGTTAAGAAGCAGAACCTGCATCAGGAGAGGAAAAAAATATTTCCTTGAGTCGGTCGTCATATGCATAAATTCGAATAGTGATTTCAGAAAGAAAGCTCTACATGGTTATCAGATGCTCTCATATGTCTTCGGTCATTAAATTGGGAAACTTGAACTTGGTATATCAGACTACTTCAATATCTTCTCATTAGATCTCAGTATTTAGCAGAAACTTAGCAGGTCGAAACATGGTCATTGACATTATGAAAACCAGTTCTTATGCCAATTAGTTCATTGGAGTTTTATCCCAACACCAAACAATTATTTTCAACACCTCGATACGTGTTTCAATCACCAAGTGATCAATATTCCTCTTGAAGATGATCACTTGGTGGTCGAAACATGAGTCGAGGTGTTGAAAATAATGGTTTGATGCTTAGATAAGACTCCAGTAATATTCATTACTACAACAAAGGTTCCAAACAGTGCATCACAAGCCAATTAGTTTGTGAAACACAGTTCATGAATGGAACGAAAAAGAAACGACTGTTGACAGTTTCAAAAATCAAAGTGAATACCCAAGAAAAGACATCAAGTACGCCTCGAGGATCCATCCAAAGTACTCGGCAAATGATCTAACATACTACAGTTATCAAACGATATCTTTCAAACGCCACATCCACTTTTTCTCGCCATGAGTAACAGCGAGGCAGAAAAAAAGTGGAATTATTGTTATTAGACACCATGAACCCGGTGTCTAATAACGTGTATTTCCCAACAACATAATTTATAGCGTTGTGTAATTAGATGATTATAAACTTCACGGTGAATTAATCTCAAGCAATATTCATATTTAGAAATAGATAACTTGATACATGTAAAACAAAGAAATCACCTCCATTAACAATAAAATACGTTCCAGTAATTTTTGAGGTATTAGATGACGTTGAACTTGAATATATACAGGGTGTTCCTTAATAACATGCATTTATAATGGGTCAATTTGGAAAAAGAATACACATGAATATATATCCTATAGGACTCAACTTTTGGAATATAGAGTGTTCGAGTTTCGAGGAAAACATCGTTATATGACAACTCATGGTGAGATTGAGGTATGACACAAACATTTTTTTAAACGTAGTATATGTATCTCTGTTTCAAAGGAATATTCTGCTGTATCACAATTCTCTATTCTGTCGCCTCTTCAAAGAGGCGGCTTTTCCTTGAAGTGAAAGTAAAGTTTTTTATAGGGGGGTCATTTTAAATCACTGCATAATATTCACGTCACTTTGGGTTATTCAATTAATGATATTTTTTTCCAACATTATCAAAATATTATCGACATTTTACGCAGGAATATTACTTTCCTATAAGATTAGAAAGATTGGATCACATAATAGTCCAATCTGAAATTTATTCATATTCCAAACACTTCTTTCAGGAAAGTGATTATTAATTGCGCCAAAAAAAATTCTGCAAAATTATCTTAACAGTTCATTAGCATATTTTATTGAATACATATTAGCCAAATCGAATCGTGACAAATATTGATTCAAATTATTCAATTCAGGTTGAAAAATTATTCGTGTTTTTTGATAATATTGGTTTATAATTCTCAGCAGTTGCCAAAATGAGCAAATCAGATAAATCAAAATTTTTAACCTCAACTTAAATACTATTTCAATATTCGAAAGATTAAGACTGCAAATACATTTGTTCGGAGTGATCAGAAGTCTTACTCAAATAAAAAAGTCGGAGTTCAATCTGAAGATCATTAGTAGGTATACTACTCCTGAAGATCGTGATATAAAAATATAAACACCTATAATAATTACAGCGGAACTATGATATAAAAAACAAACAAGAGGTTATATTATATAGACAAATTTCAATGAGGATCTGTCTTGCCAAGGTCATTTCAAGGTCAAATTTGTTTTATCTAATTATAATCTCAATTTTTGATATCGAAATGGGGAAGAGGATAATATTTTACTCGAATGAGTTAAAGAGTTACCAAAACCTTTTGGGTTAACATAAATGTTGAAGTGAGGTTCGCGCGATTTGTAAAAATACTCCATCGAAGTACTTCAACAAATATTTTCAATTGAAAATTTGTAGAAATGTTCACTTAATTATATATTTTCATTGACATTTTAGGATTCAGTTCAACTTGACTTTTTGTAATGATAATTTTTGTTTCTGAAAAACACTATATCGATCAACAAACTATTGAAATAAAAATCTCTAATTCTAATTGAATTTCATTGGTTCGTACATCCATTGTCTAAAATGAAATGAAACTACAATAAAATGAAAATTGGGCATGAAATAGGCATGAAAATTTAAAAAATTGAATGAAATGAAAATCAAAAGATTTCAAGCCAAGTTACTTCAAGACGTTTCGATTGTTAGCATCCACAATCGTCTTCAGGTGATGACTGAACTATTCCATCTATCTCTTCCTCCATCTCACCGCTTCACCGGTTCAGTGAAAGAGGACTGGGTGGGGGTTGATCGTTTTCCACTTGATTATGATTTCCATATGTTGAGTATTTCTACGCTAACTTGGCTAAATGCGTCGTTGGACAACATATATGCAGCTTCTTCGAACTTTCTACTAGACCAGTATTCCACCCTGTAGATGATCTCAGCTTGGGACCATTTGATGTTATGTTGATGAGTCCAAACACGCTCTGCTATTCCCTATTTGATGGTTTAGGAGTTGCCGCACTCACAGGATATTCGGTTAATGCAATTATCAGAATCGCATACCGCGTTTGGAGGCCTGGTTTTAATGAGGCTGCTACGGATGTTGGTTCCAGATCTGAAGCAGGTTCTGATGTTGTACTTGGACCCAATTCTTCTTATCATTTCCGACAATCCTCCGATGTAGGAAAGTGCAAGCACTGGTTGTAACGGTTTCTCTTCCTTGCGAGGCTCTTGCCGTCCTCTTGCCGTCCAAGTAT